GGAGGAATGCTGCCTATGACCCCAAGAACACCATCCCCACCGTCAAACATGGAGGTGGAAACATTATGCTTTGGGGGTGTTTTTCTGCTAAGGGGACAGGACAACTTCACCGCATCAAAGGGACGATGGACGGGGCCATGTACCGTCAAATCTTGGGTGAGAACCTCCTTCCCTCAGCCAGGGCATTGAAAATGGGTCGTGGATGGGTATTCCAGCATGACAATGACCCAAAACACATGGCCAAGGCAACAAAGGAGTGGCTCAAGAAGAAGCACATTAAGGTCCTGGAGTTGCCTAGCCAGTCTCCAGACCTTAATCCCATAGAAAATCTGTGGAGGGAGCTGAAGGTTCGAGTTGCCAAATGTCAGCCTCGAAACCTTAATAACTTGGAGAAGATCTGCAAAGAAGAGTGGGACAAAATCCCTCCTGAGATGTGGGCAAACCTGGTGGCCAACTACAAGAAGCATCTGACCTCTGTGATTGCCAACAAGGGTTTTGCCACCAAGTACTAAGTCATGTTTTGCAGAGGGGTCAAATACTTATTTCCCTCATTAAAATGCAAATCAATTTATAAAATGTTTTACATTGATTTTTTGTTGTTTTTATTCTGTCTCTCACTGTTCAAATAAACCTACCATTAAAATTATAGACTGATCATGTCTTTGTCAGTGGGCAAACGTACAAAATCAGCAGGGGATCAAATAATTTTTTCCCTCACTGTAATACAATGCAAAATTACAATACAAAATATATACAAATGTCTGTGTCTCTTCACAGTCCCCGTCTTGCCGTAAGGTGTTCTTTTTATCTGGTTTTTGGATCTGGTTTTGTTGAGTTACCTGGGGTGGCAGAGTTCCATGTAGTCATGGCTCTATTTAATACTGTGCGTTTACCAGCCTCTGTTCTGGACCTGGGGACTGTGAAGAGACCTCTGGTTGCATGTCTTGTGTGGTACCGATGACTGTCCGAAATGTGTGCCAACTGTTTGAACAGACAGGTCGGTACCCTTTAACCCATCAATACCTCGCACAAAGAAAAGGGAAAGGTGGATACCTAGTCAGTTGTACAACTGAATGCATTCAACTGAAATGTGTCTTCTGCATTTAACCCAACCCCTCTGAATCAGAGAGGTGCGGGGGGCTGCCTTAATCGACATCCACGTCATCGGCGCCCCGGGCAACAGTGGGTTAACTGCCTTGATCAGGGGCAGAACTACAGATTTTTACCTTGTCAGCTCGGGGATTCGATCCAGCAACCTTTCAACAACGCTCCTACCCGCCAGGCTACCTGCCGCCCCCAATAGACCAATAGTGATGCAGTCAATCTCTCCTCAACTTTTTAGCCAGGAGAAATGGACATGCATGTTACTGACATTCACCCTCCGTGTTACATCTAAGTGCAATACGTGCTGCTCTGTTCTGGACTGTGCTGGTAAGAAAAGACAAGTGAAAGAAAAGACAAGTGCGAGTGTCAGTGCAAGGAAGGCATCCGCCGAGTGTCAGTGCAAGGAAGGCATCCGCCAGCCTGAGGGTTGATGAACCATACAGGCAGACCCTTCAGAAAAAGGAGGATCTGGGGTGTAACACAAGTGGATAAACACTTCGGCTAACCATAGCTGTCATTCTACACACCATAACCTACCATCCAACCTACCACTCACTGTGTGGCTGTTCGCTAGTGTGATCATTATTTGAGCTACTGGTACAGCTAAATAATGACCACACTGGGGAGACGCCTAGTCTGGCGCAACAGACCACATGGTACAATGGCAAGCTAGCAACGTGGTTATAGAGAAATTGGCTTGTTAGCCAGGGTAGAGGCAAACCTTCACCTTATTCAGTCACTTCCTTCAGTTCAGTCCCTTAGATTTACACAACCATGCTGTGTTTGCTCCTTTGTCCTGTCATACTAATATGATTCAGTCCTGGCCTGCTCTTCAATCCTGGCCTGCTCTTCAATCCTGGCTTGTTCTTCAATCCTGGCCTGCTTTTAAATCCTGGCCTTAAATCCTGGCCTTCTCTTAAATCCTGGCCTGCTCTTAAATCCTGGCCTTCTCTTAAATCCTGTCCTGCTTTTAAATCCTGGCCTTCTCTTAAATCCTGGCCTGCTTTTAAATCCTGGCCTTAAATCCTGACCTGCTTTTAAATCCTGGCCTTAAATCCTGGCCTTCTATTAAATCCTGGCCTGCTCTTAAATCCTGGCCTTCTCTTAAATCCTGTCCTGCTTTTAAATCCTGGCCTTAAATCCTGGCCTTCTCTTAAATCCTGTCCTGCTTTTAAATCCTGGCCTTAAATCCTGGCCTTCTCTTAAATCCTGTCCTGCTTTTAAATCCTGGCCTTAAATCCTGGCCTTCTCTTAAATCCTGGCCTTCTCTTAAATTCTGTCCTGTGCTTAAATCCTGGCCTGATCAGACAGTTGAAGTCGGAAGTTTACATGCACTTAGGTTGGAGTCATTAAAACTCGTTTTTCAACCACTCCACAAATGTCTTGTTAACAAACTATAGTTTTGGCAAGTCGGTTAGGACATCTACTTTGTGCATGACACAAGTAATGTTACCAACAATTGTTTACAGACAGATTATTTCACTTATAATTCACTGTATCACAATTCCAGTGGGGTCAGAAGTTTACATACACTAAGTTGACTGTGCCTTTAAACAGCTTGGAAAATTCTAGAAAATGTCATGACTTTAGAAGCTTCTGATAGGCTAATTGACATAATTTGAGTCAATTGGAGGTGTACCTGTGGATGTATTTCAAGGCCTATCTTCAAACTCAGTGCCTCTTTGCTTGACATCATGGGAAAATCAAAAGAAATCAGCCAAGACCTCAGAAAAAAATTTAAGCACGGGGGTGGCAGCATCATGCTGTGGGGGTGCTTTGCTGCAGGAGGGACTGGTGCGCTTCACAAAATAGATGGCATCATGAGGAAGGAAAATGATGTGGATATATTGAAGCAACATCTCAAGACATCAGTCAGGAAGTTAAAGCTTGGTTGCAAATGGGTCTTCCAAATGGACAATGACCCCAAGCATACTCCCAAAGTTGTGGCAAAATGGCTTAAGGACAACAAAGTCAAGATATTGGAGTGGCCATCACAAAGCCCTGACCTCAATTCTATAGAAAATGTGTGCGAGCAAGGAGGCCTACAAACCTGACTCAGTTACACCAGCTCTGTCAGGAGGAATGGGCCAAAATTCACCCTACTTATTGTGGGAAGCTTGTGGAAGGCTACCTGAAACTTTTGACCCAAGTTAAACAATTTAAAGGCAATGCTACCAAATACTAATTGAGTGTATGTAAACTTCTGACCCACTGGGAATGTGATGAAAGAAATAAAAGCTGAAATAGATCATTCTTTCTACTATTATTTTGACATTTCACATTCTTAAAATAAAGTGGTGATCCTAACTGACCTAAGACAGGGAATTTTTACTAGGATTAAATGTCAGGAATTGTGAAAAACTGAGTTTAAATGTATTTGGCTAAGGTGTATGTAAACTTCCGACTTCAACTGTAAATCCTGTCCTGCTCTTAAACCCTGGCCTCCTCTTAAATCCTGGCCATTAAGCAAATGGGCCAAATGTAAATGCCATTCATTCTATGTGTAACTAAAGAGGACATTATAGTGCCACATCCATTGATGTCAACTGGTTTATACTGGTTTAATAAGGAAGAAATGGTATGGTACATGTGCCTGTGATTAATTTGGCTTTAAAAGGGCATCTTAACAAAGTAGCCTTGAATATCTACAAGTAAATGATGTCATGCTAAGAGTATTTCCAAATATTTATACATTTTTCTGTCCAGCTGTGGTCTCGCATATTTTCCATGTTATACTGAAGACTATTACAAGAACACCTGGGATGTGTATACACATACATTACAGAAATGGACAAATAGACTCACAACTGTCTGTCTATGACCAGAAGTGGTGGATCAGTCTGTGAGATGCACTGCGTGGTACATGAATAGTGCGTGCCTGCCTTTTGGTTTTTCAGTTCCTGCAGTTAATTATGGAAGCATTTAGCTTCCGAAACTGAATTGGAAATACAAATGAGCAAATGACAAATCAATATCAAGTGGATATGCGTTTCTTTGTGACAAAATTTAAAATGCAAAAAAATATATATTGCATTATCATTTTCATGATTGAATATGGATAATGTCTGCCCATTTGAAAAATAAATAGCAAAGTGTGTTTTTTATATCTCAATTCCGTGGTACTATCCAGTACAACACTGACACATTTAAAAACTAAACTTAAACGCTTGAATGACATTTCTCATGTTTGCCATTTTATTTCCTTGTGATTAGCCTGAATTGTGACAAAAACTAATTACATTCTCAATTGTCAATTGATAACGCCTTTCCATATTGTGTGTGGTTTTATTAAGACTTTCGTTTCGTCATTTGCGTTATCGTTTTTGACTTGTTTTGATCGTCAAACGGGGGTTTCGGTAACGTGAGGCGGAAGAGGTTGCCTGTGCTTGCTGGCACCGGTCACTTTCGGTCGGAGCAGTATCGAACACTGAGGCATACGGTATCGATGTTGCGGGGTTTTGGGTTGTCCCGGCAACAACAACCAGTATGAAAGTCCACAGGAAAATGAAGAAGAACAGCCGGTGTGTGGGAGGGGACACTGGAGCTACTACTGGTTAGCTAATATGGCTAATTGACTATTTATTATATGTAGCTAGCTACCTGTAGGCTAGATAGCTAGCTGGCTATGAAGAGGCACTACTGGCTAACGTTAGCAAGCTAGCCCACTGGCTACCTTCACAACAAAACATCGTGGAACACCTTGAGGTACGGTAAGTGGCTTTTTTGTCTTGTCATTTCACATTTTGGAAGGTGCATTGAAGTAATTAGCTGGATAACTAGCATGGTTATTTACTTTCTACTACAGATAGCTAGCAAGCTATGATGGACTGAAGTTACTCTGCAGGGGATCACTAATGCTATGTGGCTATTCAAAAACAAGGGAATTATATGAAAGCATGTCTTCAGACGATATAGTGTAACAATGTACAATATAATATTTTTTATTTTTTTTGGCCCAGCTCTCACACTGTGTAATGTATTCTCTCTCTCCTCTCTCCCCCTTCGCCGGCCAGCGGCGTCGCGAGACGCGTGCGGCAGGAACGAGCTCGTCTCTCTCGGCATCGCTCGCTCTCGGCTTCTCTCTCTATCCTCTATCTCTCTCTCTCTCTACTATCTCTATCTCTCTCTCTTCGCTCTCGCTCTCTCTCTCCTCTCTCTCTCTCTCTCTCTCTCTCTCTCTCTCTCTCTCTCTCTCTCTCTCTCTCTCTCTCTCTCTCTCTCTGTGTGTGTGTCCGTCTGTCTGTTTAGGAGTTCCAGATGTTTGCTGCAGGAGAGTAGTGGCGGACAACACCGGAGGGCATCTTCAATGAGCACATGTACAAGTAAGTATCCCATATTAGGTACTACTACTTGGATAGAGAGGAGGCAGAGGTTGCACGCATAGAGGTAGGTACTGTGCACTGTATGAAATTCATTACTTGGCAGTGATGGTGCAACCCAAAGACACATTGTGTCACACACTGTGGACACACCCCTTTCTCCCCATAGGCAGTAATCAAATGAATCGGACTGCTGTCATGTTGCTGAGTTGCATCACGATTCTCCTCCCTTCTCCCGCAGTGTGCACTTGCATACTTCCATGATGAGGAGTTTACAAGGGCACACCATAAGAGTAGGGTGGATAACTGGGAAGTAGCCCTCATGTTGCTCTCTCAACCACCTATAGGCCTATTCCTTTAGCTGAGGGCTACAGCCGTATTACGATGAGGGAATTCCATTTGACTCAATGGCGCCGGAGGGAATTGGCTGCCGTTTTTATGGACTCTAAACCAATTATTTTGTGTGTTTTTTTCGCATTGTTTGTAACTTATTTTGTACATAATGTTGCCGCTACCGTCTCTTATGACCGAAAAGAGCTTCTGGACATCAGAACAGCGATTACTCACCTTGAACTGGACTAATAATTTTTCTTTAATGAGTCGGACGAGAGGGATTTGCTCCAGAAACCCAACAGGGCCCTCATCCCCGTCATTTGCAGTAGAAAGAAAAGGAGATCGGGATGCCTGGTAACGAGCCGGCGACGAGTGGCTAATCTGCCTTTGCCATCGACACTATTGGCCAATTTACAATCTCTTGATAATAAAGTGGACGAACTACAAGCACGTATATCCTGCCAACGGGACATTCAAAACTGTAATATCTTATGTTTCACCGAGTCGTGGCTGAACGAAGACATGAATAACATACAGCTGGTGGGTTATACACTGTATCGGCAGGATAGAACAGCAGCCTCTGGTAAGACAAGGGGTGGCGGTCTATGTACAGTGGGGAAAAAAAGTATTTAGTCAGCCACCAATTGTGCAAGTTCTCCCACTTAAAAAGATGAGAGAGGCCTGTAATTTTCATCATGACAGACAAAATGAGAAAAAAAAATCACATTGTAGGATTTTTAATGAATTTATTTGCAAATTAGGGTGGAAAATAAGTATTTGGTCAATAACAAAAGTTTCTCAATACTTTGTTATATACCCTTTGTTGGCAATGACACAGGTCAAACGTTTTCTGTAAGTCTTCACAAGGTTTTCACACACTGTTGCTGGTATTTATAGACCCATTCCTCCATGCAGATCTCCTCTAGAGCAGTGATGTTTTGGGGCTGTCGCTGGGCACGTCTGGTACTGCAGGATTTGAGTCCCTGGCGGCGTAGTGTGTTACTGATGGTAGGCTTTGTTACTTTGATCCCAGCTCTCTGCAGGTCATTCACTAGGTCCCCCCGTGTGGTTCTGGGATTTTTGCTCACCGTTCTTGTGATCATTTTGACCCCACGGGGTGAGATCTTGCATGGAGCCCCAGATCGAGGGAGATTATCAGTGGTCTTGTATGTCTTCCATTTCCTAATAATTGTTCCCACAGTTGATTTCTTCAAACCAAGCTGCTTACCTATTGCAGATTCAGTCTTCCCAGCCTGGTGCAGGTCTACAATTTTGTTTCTGGTGTCCTTTGACAGCTCTTTGGTCTTGGCCATAGTGGAGTTTGGTGTGTGACTGTTTGAGGTTGTGGACAGGTGTCTTTTATACTGATAACAAGTTCAAACAGGTGCCATTAATACAGGTAACGAATGGAGGACAGAGGAGCCTCTTAAAGAAGAAGTTACAGGTCTGTGAGAGACAGAAATCTTGCTTGTTTGTAGGTGACCAAATACTTATTTTCCACCATAATTTGCAAATAAATTCATAAAAAATCCTACAATGTGATTTTCTGGATTTTTTTCCCTCAATTTGTCTGTCATAGTTGACGTGTACCTATGATGAAAATTACAGGCCTCTCTCATCTTTTTAAGAGGGAGAACTTGCACAATTGGTGGCTGACTAAATACTTTTTTTCCCCCACTGTATACTTGTAAACAACAGCTGGTGCACGATATCAAAGGAAGTCTCAAGGTTTTGCTCGCCTGAGGTGGAGTATCTCATGATAAGCTGTAGACCACACTATCTACCAAGAGAGTTATCTATATTCTTCGTAGCTGTCTATTTACAGTGAGGGAAAAAAGTATTTGATCCCCTGCTGATTTTGTACGTTTGCCCACTGACAAAGACATGATCAGTCTATAATTTTAATGGTAGGTTTATTTGAACAACAACAACAAAAAATCCAGAAAAACGCATGTCAAAAATGTTATAAATTGATTTGCATTTTAATGAGGGAAATAAGTATTTGACCCCCTCTCAATCAGAAAGATTTCTGGCTCCCAGGTGTCTTTTATACAGGTAACGAGCTGAGATTAGGAGCACGCTCTTAAAGGGAGTGCTCCTAATCTCAGATTGTTACCTGTATAAAAGACACCTGTCCACAGAAGCAATCAATCAATCAGATTCCAAACTCTCCACCATGGCCAAGACCAAAGAGCTCTCCAAGGATGTCAGGGACAAGATTGTAGACCTACACAAGGCTGGAATGGGCTACAAGACCATTTCCAAGCAGCTTGGTGAGAAGGTGACAACAGTTGGTGCAATTATTCGCAAATGGAAGAAACACAAAATAACTGTCAATCTCCCTCGGCCTGGGGCTCCATGCAAGATCTCACCTCGTGGAGTTGCAATGATCATGAGAACGGTGAGGAATCAGTCCAGAACTACACGGGAGGATCTTGTCAATGATCTCAAGGCAGCTGGGACCATAGTCACCAAGAAAACAATTGGTAACACACTACGCCCTGAAGGACTAAAATCCTGCAGCGCCCGCAAGGTCCCCCTGCTCAAGAAAGGACATATACATGCCCGTCTGAAGTTTGCCAATGAACATCTGAATGATTCAGAGGAGAACTGGGTGAAAGTGTTGTGGTCAGATGAGACCAAAATTTAGCTCTTTGGCATCAACTCAACTCGCCGTGTTTGGAGGAGGAGGAATGCTGCCTATGACCCCAAGAACACCATCCCCACCGTCAAACATGGAGGTGGAAACATTATGCTTTGGGGGTGTTTTTCTGCTAAGGGGACAGGACAACTTCACCGCATCAAAGGGACAATGGACGGGGCCATGTACAGTCAAATCTTGGGTGAGAACCTCCTTCCCTCAGCCAGGGCATTGAAAATGGGTCGTGGATGGGTATTCCAGCATGACAATGACCCAAAACACACGGCCAAGGCAACAAAGGAGTGGCTCAAGAAGAAGCACATTAAGGTCCTGGAGTTGCCTAGCCAGTCTCCAGACCTTAATCCCATAGAAAATCTGTGGAGGGAGCTGAAGGTTCGAGTTGCCAAACGTCAGGCTCGAAACCTTAATAACTTGGAGAAGATCTGCAAAGAAGAGTGGGACAAAATCCCTCCTGAGATGTGTGCAAACCTGGTGGCCAACTACAAGAAACGTCTGACCTCTGATTGCCAACAAGGGTTTTGCCACCAAGTACTAAGTCATGTTTTGCAGATGGGGTCAAATACTTATTTCCCTCATTAAAATGCAAATCAATATATAACATTTTTGATATGCGTTTTTCTGGATTTTTTTGTTGTTATTTTCTCTCACTGTTCAAATAAACCTACCATTAAAATTATAGACTGATCATGTCTTTGTCAGTGGGCAAACGTACAAAATCAGCAGGGGATCAAATACTTTTTTTCCCCTCACTGTACCACCACAACCCGATGTTGGCAGTAAGACCGCACTCAATGAACTGTATATGGCCATAAGCAAACAGGAAAACGCTCCTCTAGAGGCAGCGCTCCTAGTGGCCGGGGACTTTAATAGTGGCCGGGGACTCCTGAGTGGCGCAGTGGTCTAAGGCACTGCATCGCAGTGCTAACTGTGCCACTAGAGATCCTGGTTCGAATCCAGGCTCTGTCGCAGCCGGCCGCGACCGGGAGACTCATGGGCGGCGCACAATTGGCCCAGCGTTGTCCAGGGTAGGGGAGGGAATGGCCGGCAGGGATGTAGCTCAGTTGATAGAGCATGGTGTTTGCAACGCCAGGGTTGTGGGTTCGATTCCCACGGGGGGCCAGTATAAAAAATAATAATATGAACTCACTAACTGTAAGTCGCTCTGGATAAGAGCGTCTGCTAAATGACTAAAATGTAAAATGTAAATGTTAATACAGGGAAACTTAAATCCGTTTTACCTCATTTCTACCAGCGTGTTAAATGTTCAACCAGAGGGGGAAAAAAATCTCAGGAGTCATGATGTAGGGTTCAGAGTTTGTTCTTGGTAAAAAAAATGAATCTGTCCTTTATCTGGCTACCTAAGTAGAACTAGGAAACTTCTAACTGATACGTTATGGAAAATACATGTACGTTTCTGAACGATGAACCATGCTGTCTTGTTGACAGTATGACCTGGCGGCGCAGATTACTGTTGGATTTGAGCAGGGCGCTCCTCCCTCACCGCTTTCGCCCGTTCACGTCACAGGCCATAGCCCGGTGCACCCTGGTCCAGCTTAATTAAACTCCCTCAATATAAGGGCTACTCTACGGCATGGTAGTGTCCACAGTAGAATGAAATCTAAGTCTATTCATATTGTAGTCCCATGATCCTCTTGTATGTGACATTTTGTTTATTGCAAGTCAAGCTTTTGTTGGCATGCCAGTAAATATTGTCAGCGTTACAGTATTGAATCCCACAGGGAACAGTACCAGAAACTTTAAGGAGGAAGATGATCTAGTGTGCTTTCTTCCAATGGTCTGCACTCGGCTACTTCCCTTCATGGACTAAAGAGCAATGGATTTGTACAATAGGTTAGTCTAGTTCAGTGTTCCTGTTTCTTGCCTAATGGGCAAAAGTGGACATTGTCATCCCTACCTGTGCTATAACACTTCATTGAACTACTCGTTAAGACCACACTTGGGTAAATTGAGTGAATGAATGATTGGTTATAATAATAATAATAATATGCCATTTAGCAGATGGTTTTATCCAAAGCGACTTACAGTCATGCATGCATACATTTTTGTGTATGGGTGGTCCCGGGGATCGAAACCACTACCTTGGCGTTACAAGCGCCGTGCTCTGCCAGCTGAGCTACAGAGGACCATGGTTATGACACCATGCACTAAACCGGAGCGTACAGTTATTGGGAGCAATATAAAACTGTAGGATGTGTGAATTGAATTGTGACTAGTGCACTTCTCATGAGGTCTCTATCCATGCTAACCTTTTTGCATCATTTGTGCTTTCTTTCCCACAGGCGGTTCAGGCTGATGACCTGTCTCCGTAGCTGATAGACACCGAGAAGGAATATCATCCCCAACGATACAACTAATGTTTCTAACTGTACTAATGAGGAAGAGGAGAGCCGGGCTTATCCATCGTCTCTGAACTGCTTGAAGCGTTCTGTCAACATTACAGTACCACTTTGTTTACCGCTAGTCACATGTTCAATAAGATGTTCTGCCAACGTAATAACTACAGACGTGTTCTTGCTCTTCAGTAAGGTTCTAACAATCATATGTTGAAAACCATTATCAAGGGAAACTTACAGTAGTTGAACACTTTGTAGACAGTAACCCGTTTTGTTGAACGCTAGTGATTCTAAGAACAATAGTAACTTACCTGTAGGACAATGTCTCTATCACATGTCACTAAGGGTACAGTAAAGGTATATCCTTAATAAAAAAAATTGTTGATGGCTAATTATGCGTGCCTCTCATTTTCCATCATAGTATGTAGTACAGCTACGTCTCATCCTTGTTCTTCTTCTCCCAATTCATGCCGTCACAACAAGGAAATGAAATGGCAAACATGAGAAATGATTTGTCATTTTAAGCATTTTTTTTTTTTTTAAATGTGTCAGTGTTGTACTGGATAGTACCATGGAAATGAAATATTAAACACACTTTTGCAATTTTATTTTTCAAATTGGCAGACATTATCCATATTCAATCATGAAAATGATAATGCAATATATAACTTTGGATTTTGTCACCAAAAATGCATGCACATTTAGGCAAAGGAATTGCAAACATGGTATACTGTAGATTTATAATTTGCCCGTTTTTAGAATTTTAGATTGAGTTAAGTCACCCGTAGACTTCCATAGTTAATGTGTATGGTGATGACTAATTACATGATTAGGGCACACACACCCATCATAGGTGTGTTGACAGGCAGAAACATAGGCAGCTGTGTTTATCTAGGGTGGTGTCTGGGGGTGGGCCTGTTCTACTGTTCACCCTGAAACGCATTCACCACAGGCTGGTCCTGAAACGCATTCACCACAGGCTGGTCCTGAAACCCTCTAAATACACCTCCGCTGTCTTCAACCAGGATCTCAGCGAGCACTGCCTTATTGCCTGCGTCCGTAATGGGTCCCCGGTCAAATGACCACCCCTCATCACTGTCAAACGCTCCCTAAAACACTTTAGCGAGCAGGCCTTTCTAATTGACCTGGCCCGGGTATCCTGGATGGATATTGACCTCATTCCGTCAGTAGAGGATGCCTGGTTGTTCTTCAAAAGTGCTTTCCTCTCAATCTTAAATAAGCATGCCCCATTCAAAAAATTCAGAACTAAGAACAGATATAGCCCCTGGTTCTCCTCAGACTTGACTGCCCTTGACCAGCACAAAAACATCCTGTGGCGTACTGCATTAGCATCGAACAGCCCCCGCGATATGCAACTTTTCAGGGAAGTCAGGAACCAATATACACAATCAGTTAAGAAAGCAAAGGCTAGCTTTTTCAAACAGAAATTTGCATCCTGTAGCACTAACTCTAAAAAGTTAAATCTACAATAATCGAGAATTTCAACAAGCATTTTGCTACGGCCAACCATGCTTTCCACCTGGCTACCACTACCCCGGCCACCAGCTCTGCACCCTCCACTGCAACTTGCCCATGCAAGATCATCGACCATTTCGAGTCCCACCGTACCTTCTCCGCTATGCAATCCGGTTTCCGAGCTGGTCATGGGTGCACCTCAGCCACGCTCAAGGTCCTAAACGATATTATAACCAAGATCGATAAAAGACAGTACTGCGCAGCCGTCTTCATCGACCTGGACAAGGTTTTCGACTCTGTCAACCACCGCATTCTTATTGGCAGACTAAATAGCCTTGGTTTCTCAAATGACTGCCTCGCCTGGTTCACCAACTACTTCTCAGAGTTAAATGTGTCAAATCGGAGGGCCTGTTGTCTGGACCTCTGGCAGTCTCTATGGGGGTGCCACAGGGTTCAATTCTCGGGCCGACTCTATTCTCTGTGTATATCAATGATGTCGTTCTTGCTGCTGGTGACGCTCGGATCCACCTCTATGCGGACGACACCATTTTGTATACATCTGGCCTTTCATTGGACACTGTGTTAACAAACCTCCAAACGAGCTTCAATGCCATACAACACTCCTTCCGTAGCCTCCAACTGCTCATAAACACTATTAAAACTAAATACATGCTCTTCAACCGAACGCTGCTTGCACCCGCCCACCCGACTAGAATCACTACTCTCGGCGGGTCTGACCTAGAGTATGTGGACAACTACAAATACCTAGGTGTCTTGTTAGACCGTAAACTCTCCTTCCAGACTCACATTAAGCATCTCCAATCAAAAGTTAGATCTAGAATCGGCTTCCTATTTCGCAACAAAGCCTCCTTCACTCATGCTGCCAAACATGCCCTCGTAAAACTGACTATCCTACCAATCCTTGACTTCGGCGATGCCATTTACAAAATAGCCTACAACACTCTACTCAGCAAATTGGATGTAGTCTATCACAGTGCCATCCGTTTTGTCACCAAAGCCCCATATACTACCCACCATTGTGACCTGTACACTCTTGTTGGCTGGCCCTCACTACATATTCGTCCCCAAACCGACTGGCTCCAGGTCATCTATAAATCACTGCTAGGCAAATCCCCATCTTATCTTAGCTCACTGGTCACCATACCAACACCCACCCGTAGTCTGCGCTCCTGCAGGTATATCTCACTGGTCATCCCCAAAGCCAACACCTCCTTTGGCCGCCATTCCTTCCTGTTCTTTGCTGCCAATGACTGGAACGAACTGCAAAAATCTCTGAAGCTGGAGACTCTTATCTCCCTCATTAACTATAAGTGTCAGTTGTCAGAGCAGCTTACCGATCACTGCACCTGCACACAGCCATTCTGAAATAAGCCCACCCAACTACCTCATCCCCATATTGTTATTCATTTTGCTAATTTGCACCCCAGTATCTCTATTTGCACATCATCTTTTGCACATCTATCATTCCAGTGTTAATACGAAATTGTAACTACACTGCTCAAAAAAATAAAGGGAACACTAAAATAACACATCCTAGATCTGAATGAATGAAATAATCTTATTAAATACTTTTTTCTTTACATAGTTGAATGTGCTGACAACAAAATCACACAAATTATCAATGGAAATGAAATTTATCAACCCATGGAGGTCTGGATTTGGAGTCACCCTCAAAATTAAAGTGGAACACCACACTACAGGCTGATCCAACTTTGATGCAATGTCCTTAAAACAAGTCAAAATGAGGCTCAGTAGTGTGTGTGGTCTCCACGTGCCTGTATGACCTCCCTACAACGCCTGGGCATGCTCCTGATGAGGTGGTGGATGGTCTCCTGAGGGATCTCCTCCCAGACCTGGACTAAAGCATCCGCCAACTCCTGGACAGTCTGTGGTGCAACGTGGCGTTGGTGGATGGAGCGAGACATGATGTCCTAGATGTGCTCAATTGGATTCAGGTCTGGGGAACGGGCGGGCCAGTCCATAGCATCAATGCCTTCCTCTTGCAGGAACTGCTGACACATGAGGTCTAGCATTGTCTTGCATTAGGAGGAACCCAGGGCCAACCGCACCAGCATATGGTCTCACAAGGGGTCTGAGGATCTCATCTCGGTACCTAATGGCAGTCAGGCTTCCTCTGGCGAGCACATGGAGGGCTGTGCGGCCCCCCAAAGAAATGCCACCCCACACCATGACTGACCCACCGCCAAACCGGTCATGCTGGAGAATGTTGCAGGCAGCAGAACGTTCTCCACGGCGTCTCCAGACTCTGTCACGTCTGTCACATGTGCTCAGTGTGAACCTGCTTTCATCTGTGAAGAGCACAGGGCGGTGTGGCAAATTTTCCAATCTTGGTGTTCTCTGGCAAATGCCAAACGTCCTGCACGGTGTTGGGCTGTAAGCACAACCCCCACCTGTGGACGTCGGGCCCTCATACCACCCTCATGGAGTCTGTTTCTGACCATTTGAGCAGACACATGCACATTTGTGGCCTGCTGGAGGTCATTTTGCAGGGCTCTGGCAGTGTTCCTCCTGCTCCTCCTTGCACAAAGGCGGAGGTAGCGGTCCTGCTGCTGGGTTGTTGCCCTCCTACAGCCTCCTCCACGTCTCCTGATGTACTGGCCTGTCTCCTGGTAGCGCCTCCATGCTCTGGACACTACGCTGACAGACACAGCAAACCTTCTTGCCACAGCTCGCATTGATGTGCCATCCTGGATGAGCTGCACTACCTGAGCCACTTGTGTGGGTTGTAGACTCCGTCTCATGCTACCACTAGAGTGAAAGCACCGCCAGCATTCAAAAGTGACCAAAACATCAGCCAGGAAGCATAGGAACTGAGAAGTGGTCTGTGGTCACCACCTGCAGAACCACTTCTTTATTGGGGGTGTCTTGCTAATTGCCTATAATTTCCACCTGTTGTCTATTCCATTTGCACAACAGCATGTGACATTTATTGTCAATCAGTGTTGCTTCCTAAGTGGACAGTTTGATTTCACAGAAGTGTGATTGACTTGGATTTACATTGTGTTGTTTAAGTGTTCCTTTTATTTTTTTGGAGCAGTGTATATGTATGTGTGTATATATATATATATACACACACACACACAGTGAGGGGAAAAAAGTATTTGATCCCCTGCTGATTTTGTATGTTTGCCCACTGACAAAGAAATTATCGGTCTATAATTTTAATGGTAGGTTTATTTGAACGGTGAGAGACAGAATAACAACAAAAATATCCAGAAAAACGCATGTCAAAAATGTTATGAATTGATTTGCATTTTAATGAGGGAAATAAGTATTTGACCCCTCAGCAAAACCGTTCTCATGATCATTGCAACTCCACGAGGTGAGATCTTGCATGGAGCCCCAGGCCGAGGGAGATTGACAGTTCTTGTTTCTTCCATTTGCGAATAATCGCACCAACTGTTGTCACCTTCTCACCAAGCTGCTTGGCGATGGTCTTGTAGCCCATTCCAGCCTTGTGTAGGTCTACAATCTTGTCCCTGACATCCTTGGAGAGCTCTTTGGTCTTGGCCATGGTGGAGAGTTTGGAATCTGATTGATTGACTGCTTCTGTGGACAGGTGTCTTTTTTATACAGGTAACAAGATGAGATTAGGAGCACTCCCTTTAAGAGTGTGCTCCTAATCTCAGCTCGTTACCTCTATAAAATACACCTGGGAGCCACAAATCTTTCTGATTGAGAGGGGGTCAAATACTTATTTCCCTCATTAAAATGCAAATCAATTTATAACATTTTTGACATGCGTTTTTCTGGATTGATTTGTTGTTATTCTGTCTCTCACTCTTCAAATAAACCTACCATTAAAATTATAGACTGATCATTTCTTTGTCAGTGGGCAAACTTACAAAATCAGCAGGGGATCAAATACTTTTTTCCCTCACTGTATATATATATATATATATATATATATATAATTATTACTTTTATTTGCCCTAAAATGATTAAAAGGAGATAAACCCTGACAGAAATGTAATTAGTCTTCGTTATGAGTCCCAGCCTTGTTGTCCAGTCTCACTGACTCTGTTTTAATTAACTTAGCTGTCTTGATATAGAATGGAGTTAACTATGACCACAGGCTGTAAAAACAGAAATATTCAATACATCATACCGCGTTCACATTTGTTGCATAGCATTGTGCCTGTAGTGCAAAGGTCCTGCCTTTTCATAAATGTCTTTTTGAGGTGGCCTGTGAAATAGTGATTGTATACGCTTCACTCGTTTGTTTAGAGTATTTGTTAGCACTGATACTACAAACCGCAAGATGAGCAGATGTGATGGTGGATCGTGCTTTTTTTCATGCACCAGACATTTGACAGGCAACATTTTAATTTACGGGACATTTTGAGAAATGTACCGGACCCGTATGCATTGGGTGAGTAACCTGATGAGGGCGTCCACCCACGGTGCTCAGAATGACAGAAATCACATTTAGATGATGGTAATTCATATTAACAGAACATGCAAGTCTAGGATGCAAGGATGTGCGGTCCTTCTTACCGAATTATGATGTGTACTTTTGAAGATGTTAGAGTAACTGTCCACATTTAACTTTTCCTCAACCAACGTGACAAGTAACGAACTTCAAAATCACTAGCCTATGTCAATCTACTATCCCCCATAGTAGAAAAAGTTGACCTATTCTATTGGTCAGCGTGCCGAGAAAGAAATGGCCTATTCCAAACACAAATTCAGAACAGCCTCAATTTGTCGGGCATGGACTCTACGAGGTGTCGAAAGCGTTCCACAGGGACGCTGGCCCATGTTGTCTCCAATGCTGGATGTCCTTTGGTGGTGGACCATTCTTGATACACACGGAAAACTGTTGAGCGTGAAAAACCCAGCAGCGTTGCAATTCTTGACACAAACCTTTGTGCCTGGCACCTACTACCATAACCCGTTCAAAGGCACTTTGTAAAACAAATAAAGAAAACCCCTTGAATGAGTAGGTGTGTCCAAACTTTTGACTGGTACTGTAAATATACATTACCGGTCAGAAGTTTTAGAACACCTACTCATTCAAGGGGTTTTCTTTATTTTTACTATTTTCTACAATGTAGAATAATAGTGAAGACATCAAAACTATGAAATAACACATATGGAATCATGTAGTAACCAAAAAAGTGTTAAACAAATAAAAATATATTTTATATTTGAGTTTCTTCAAATAGCCACCCTTTGCCTTAATGACAGCTTTGAACACTCTTTGCATTCTGTCAACCAGCTTCATGAGGTAGTCACCTGGAATGCATTTCAATTAACAGGTGTGCCTTCTTAAAAGTTAATTTGTGGAATTTCTTTCCTTCTTAATGCGTTTGAGCCAATCAGGTGTGTTGTGAAAAGGTGTGGGGGGGGGGGGGGGGGGGGTATACAGAAGATACATCAGCATGCATGTGTCCCTCTCTCGGCCCATGCAGCACTCCACACGGTTAAACATGACCTGGGGTCAGATAGGAGCAAGTGGCTTGACTGCTGATAATATACAGTACTGGTGGTTTGGGAGGTTAAACATGACCTGAGGTCAGACAGGAGCAAGTGGCTTGACTGCTGATAATATACAGTACTGGTGGTTTGGGAGGTTAAACATGACCTGGGGTCAGATAGGAGCAAGTGGCTTGACTGCTGATAATATACAGTACTGGTGGTTTGGGAGGTTAAACATGACCTGAGGTCAGACAGGAGCAAGTGGATTGACTGCTGATAATATACAGTACTGGTGGTTTGGGAGGTTAAACATGACCTGAGGTCAGACAGGAGCAAGTGGCTTGACTGCTGATTATATACAGTACTGGTGGTTTGGGAGGTTAAACATGACCTGAGGTCAGACAGGAGCAAGTGGCTTGACTGCTGATTATATACAGTACTGGTGGTTTGGGAGGTTAAACATGACCTGAGGTCAGACAGGAGCAAGTGGCTTGACTGCTGATTATATACAGTACTGGTGGTTTGGGAGGTTAAACATGACCTGAGGTCAGACAGGAGCAAGTGGCTTGACTGCTGATAATATACAGTACTGGTGGTTTGGGAGGTTAAACATGACCTGGGGTCAGACAGGAGCAAGTGGCTTGACTGCTGATTATATACAGTACTGGTGGTTTGGGAGGTTAAACATGACCTGGGTAAGTTCTTAATAACACCCTATACCCTAGGCTTATGTAATGCACTACTTCCGGCCATATTGTCCTCATAGGTTCCGACTATAGGGTGATTCAGATAGGCCCCACTGGATATGTTGTTTGGTGATTTGACATTGGTCTCATCCCATTGGTCGCCATATTTATTTGATTCCAGGTAGCCAATCAGACGCTCCATACAGACAGCCCAGACCTGCCGGAGTGTTTCCAGCTGTCAGTGCTGTCATGGCTGCCTTGTGTGTACCTGTGGCTTGCTTGCCCTCCGTACGTCTTCTACCTCCAGAGGAACAACAGGGGTTATATCATGATGTCCATCCTCAACAGAGTGAAGACGGTGAGGGACCACACCACACACTGGGCTGCTGTAGGCGGACATTTGTATTTGTCTCTCTGTCTCTCTCTCTGTCTCTCTGTCTCTCTGTCTCTCTCTCTCTCTCTCTCGTGTCTCTATCTCCTCTATATCTTATATATCTCTCTGTCTCTCTCTCTCTCTCTCTCTCTGTCTCATCTCTCTCCTCTCTATCTTCTTCTCTCTTCTCTCTCTCTCTCTCTCTATCTCTCTCTCTCTCTCTCTCTCTCTCTCTCTCTCTGTCTCTGTCTCTGTCTCTGTCTCCATCTCTCTCTGTCTTTCTCGATGCAATCCTGTTTGGTGCCTGAGATTCATTCCCTGTGTCGTGCCCATATTCCATTAGATTAGTTAGTTGATGCACGATAAGGGAATAGTGGAAATGTTCATCAGACAGGCTAATGACCAGTACTGGGAAACGGACCAGACATGCATACAAGCTTGTTCAGACACTTTAGATGGGTTTTGAACAAATGACTCCTGCTCAGTTTTGGGTCTCTGTCTTTCTCTCTGTCTTTATCTCTGTCTTTCTCTCATCCTGCTCTCCTCCTCTCCTCCTCTCCTCTCCTCCTCTCCTCCTCTCCTCTCCTCTCCTGCTCTCCTCCTCTCCTCTAGGTATTTGCGTTGGTGTTGTGGATCGTGTGTTGGACTGATCTCTTCGGCACCTTCAATGAGATGCGTCAGGGGGATACACAGCCACCCATCTACTTCGTTACCCCGCTGGTGGTCGGCATGACGATGGTACGCGTACACAACCAACAGGACGTGGCGTTCTAAACATACAGGACAGTCAGACAGTACAGCGTTCAACTCACTTCCTGAGAAATACCTTCTTTTTGGGGTCTTGTTGCTTAGGGACAGTAGTGTGGTTTTTATTGGGCACAGGGGAGGGTAGTGAGGTTTTATTGGTCACGGGAGGGTAGGGTGTTTTTTTCCCTGGTTTACGTTTGCTCTTTTGTAGGTTTTACTATATAATGTCTTCCATCCTAGCCACATTTCCTCATCTGCTTGCATGCTCCTCCCCTATATCAAGGTGTTTTGGTACTTCCCTTATGCACTCTGCTTTTCCGCGCGCCAACTTTTACTATACCACAGACCAATATAGTCTACCAGTCTGTTCTATCCTGCCCTCGATCCACCATTCATAGTGACAATGGTGGTAGGTGGATAGTTTGTCCAGATCTGCAATAGGCTAACTAGCAATCATACCACACATACAATTATTCAAAGCTTAAACATTTTTTCAATATGAATTCACACAAATAGGAATATCTGATAGGCAGCTTGAGAGGTGTGTCATTACTCATGAAAGAACGGTGAGACACGCAGCGGCAAAAAAAATTCCCTTGCAGTTCTCTCCAATCCGAGCGGCTATTCCTCTCGCACCTAAAACCTAACGCTTCAAACCATGATATTGAAGTGCCCAAAGTCGGTATGCTTTGCTTTGTGGTTGTGTGGTGCATTGGCACAGAAAAACATGTTGGTGTAAAATGTGGTGCATACAGTATATTTTATATAATATAGTATCAAAATGTTGAAAATCTGATTTCCCCCCTAGCTGATCATTGTCTGCAGTCGGCTCTGATCGTAGTGTAATGAAACAGGCAGGGAGAGTGAGCTGGTCCGTGGTGGTCGGTGAACCCTCAACCTTCTGGCCCGTAGCCCTGCGTGGCATCGACTGTGCCACAAAAGCATGCTGAAGTGGCAAAGTCGATACCCACGTTTATAAACACAGGGTCACTACAGTTATTGTAATTTGTGGCCGTAAACATTTATTTTGAGTTAATTCTATGAGGGGGGGAGGTTGTGCGTGAGGGGGGTGCATTTTTTAAAATGACACCTCGAGTTGGACCAGTTGATCCTTACATGCCCTGTGTGTTTCTGTGCTTATCTAAATCATGTTAACTCTCCCTCCCCCCCCCCCCCCTCCCTCCCTCCCTCCCTCCACCCCTCCCTCCCTCCCTCCCTCCCTCTTGTCTCCTCTCTCTCTCAGTTGCTAGCTACGTTTCTGATCCAGTTTGAGAGGTTGAGAGGGGTCCAGTCTTCAGGGATTCTCTTTATATTCTGGTTCCTGTCGGTGCTGTGTGCCATCGTACCTTTCCGCTCCAAGATCCTACAGGCCAAATTCCAGGTGAGATCAGGGTTTCCCCTATCTTGTACTGATGTCTCCCATCCTCTGTTCCCTTTCTCAAAACGTGTTTACTGCCCTCATTCTCCCCCTCTCCTCCCCCTCCACTCTCCTCCCCCTCTCCCTCCCCCTCTCCTCTCCCTCTCCCTCCCCCTCTCTACTCCCTCTCCCTCCCCCTCTCCTCCCCATCCCCTCTCCTCCCCCTCCCCTCTCCTCCCCCTCCCCCTCCTCCTCCCCCTCCCCCTCTCCTCCCCCTCCTTTCCTGGCTAAGTAATTTACAGTAGTTTTGGGGGGGGGATTAGGCAGGGAGATTGTTTTGGGGGTTTGGCAGGGACATTGTTTTGGGGGTTAGGCAGTGACATTGTTTTGGAGGTTAGGCAGTGACGTTGTTTTGGGGGTTTGGCAGGGACGTTGTTTTGGGGGTTAGGCAGGGAGATTGTTTTGGGGGTTTGGCAGGGACATTGTTTTGGGGGTTAGGCAGGGACATTGTTTTGGAGGTTAGGCAGTGACGTTGTTTTGGGGGTTAGGCAGTGACGTTGTTTTGGGGGTTAGGCAGTGACGTTGTTTTGGGGGTTAGGCAGGGACGTTGTTTTGGGGGTTAGGCAGGGACGTTGTTTTGGGGGTTTGGCAGGGACGTTGTTTTGGGAGTCAGGCAGGGATGAGGTTGTGTGGAAAGAGCAAGTGAAAGGGAAAGAGCAAGGGGGAGAGATAGTGAGAGGGAGAGACAGAGAACAAAGAGAGGAAGTCCATTGAGAGATAGTAGGTCTGTTTTGAATTGAATAACATAGCTGGTGAACTTCAGAGCTCTCATTGGCTATTGCTGATCACCGTTCTCAAAACCTGTCGATGCAGATCTCACACTACAAGAGAATAGCAGATTTTGTGCAGATAAAATGAAACATGTTTGAAAATATCGGGACGTCTGGGACGGAATCGGTAGCCCTCCGATTGAGTCTCTGAGCCGCTCACATTAAACGAGCGTCGGTGGCGGCCGCGCGCCCCGAGTAGGCAACGACATGGGGATTGTGTCTCAGATCTCAAAAAACGTGTCTGGGACCAAAATCATGTAGTGTACGCCCAGCTTTAGTGTATTGTCTGTCAACTCCCTTAAGAAATGGCTTTCATGACAAAACGTCCTCCAACGGGTCAATCAAGTATTTCTCCTGTCTTGTGTTTCAGAGTGAGATTCCAGACAAGCTGCGTTTCACCACATTCTACTTCTACTTCAGTCTGGTTGTAGTCGAGCTGATCCTCTGCTGCTTCAACGAGAAACCCCCCCTTTTCTCCAATGTAGACACAGACCCCGTGAGTCAACACACACACACACACACACACACACACACACTATCCTTGTGGGGACCAAATAATTGATACCCATTCAAAATCCTATTTTTCCTAACCTTAACCCCAAATCCCTAACCTTAACTCCTAACCCTACACCTAACCCATAACCCTAATTGTAACCCTTGAGCCTAAAATAGCCTTTTTCCTTGTGGGGACTGGCGAAATGTCTTCTGGTCCCCACAAGAATGGTAAAAACAAAACACACACGCTGTGGCCTATCTTCATACTCTGTTGTTTTCTCCTCAGAATCCTTGTCCTCAATCGACAGCTGGTTTCCTCTCCACCATGACCTTCTGGTGGTTCACTAGGTAAAACCATTTCCCCCATAGACGCACACAACAAGTGTGTCCCGTTCTGTCCTATACATTTGTATGGCTTATAGCTACTTCACAAGTAATCATTACATTTGATAAATAATGAATGGAACCGCAAACGGCAGTCTTCTCTCTGTGCAATGGTGTCCTGGACACTGATAAAGTATTTTCCAGGGACCCTCTCTTCACAAAGTTCCACTAATGCGTTGTGTCCCTCTCTGTCCCAGCATGGCCATCAAAGGCTATAGGAACCCTCTGGAAGCGAAAGACCTGTGGTCACTGAACAAGAAGGACAGCTCAGAGGAGGTCGTCCCCAAGCTGCTGAGAGAGTGGGACCTGGAGCAGGCCAAGGCTCACAGGTAGGGAGGGAGGGAGGGAGGGAGACAGGGAGGTAGGGAGGGAGGGAGGGAGGGAGGGAGACAGGGAGGTAGGGAGGGATGGAGACAGGGAGGTGGAGCAGGCCAAGGCTCACAGGTATTTGTATTTATTATGGATCCCCATTAGCTGCTGCCAAGGCAGCAGCTACTCTTCCTGGGGTCCAGCAAAATTAAGGTAGTTCATACAATTTTAAAAACATTACAATAAATTCACAGATTTCACAACACACTGTGTGCCCTCAGGCCCCTACTCCACCACTACCACATATCTACAACACAAAATCCATGTGTACGTGTGTGTATAGGGCATATGTTATCGTGTTTGTGTATGCATGTGTCTGTGCCTATGTTTGTGTTGCTTCACAGTCCCCGCTCTTCCATAAGGTGTTTTTTTTAATCTGTTTTTTAAAATCTGATTCTACTGCTTGCATCAGTTACTTGATGTGGAATAGAGTTCCATGTAGTCATGGCTCTATGTAGTACTGTGCGCCTCCTATAGTCTGTTCTGGACTTGGGGACTGTGAAGAGACCTCTGGTGGCATGTCTTGTGGGGTATGCATGGGTGTCCGAGCTGTGCGCCAGTAGTTCAAACAGACAGCTCGGTGCATTCAACATGTCAATACCTCTCACAAATACAAGTAGTGATGAAGTCAATCTCTCCTCCACTTTGAGCCAGGAGATATTGACATTCATATTCTTAATATTAGCTCTCTAATTTAGCTCTCTAATACTGCCCTGTTCTGAGCCAATTGCAATTTTCCTAAGTCCTTTTTTGTGGCACCTGACCACACGACTGAACAGTAGTCCAGGTGCGACAAAACTAGGGCCTGTAGGATCTGCCTTGTTGATAGTGCTGTTAAGAAGGCAGAGCAGCCCTTAATTATGGACATACTTCTCCCCATCTTAGCTACTGTTGTATCAATATGCTTTGACCATGACAGTCTACAATCCAGGGTTACTCCAAGCAGTTTAGTCACCTCAACTTGCTCAATTTCCACATTATTTATTACAAGATTTAGTTGAGGTTTAGGGTTTAGTGAATGATTTGTCCCAAATACAATGCTTTTAGTTTTAGAAATATTTAGGACTAACTTATTCCTTGCCACCCATTCTGAAACGAACTGCAGCTCTTTGTTAAGTGTTGCTGTCATTTCAGTCACTGTAGTAGCTGACGTGTATAGTGTTGAGTCATCCGCATACATAGACACTCTGTGGCATGTCATTAGTAAAGATTGAAAAAAGTAATGGGCCTAGACAGCTGCCCTGGAGAATTCCTGATTCTACCTGGATTATGTTGGAGAGGCTTCCATTAAAGAACACCCTCTGTGTTCTGTTAGAAAGGTAACTCTGTATCCATAACACACATGTTTTTCCAGCAGCAGACTATGATCGATAATGTCAAAAGCCGCACTGAAGTCTAACAAAACAGCCCCCACAATCTTTTTATCATCAATTTCTCTCAGCCAATCATCAGTCATTTGTGTAAGTGCTGTGCTTGTTGAATGTCCTTCTCTATAAGCATGCTGAAAGTTTGTTGTCAATTTGTTTACTGTACAATAGCATTGTATCTGGTCAAACACAGTTTTTTCCTATAGTTTACAAAGGGTTGGTAACATGCTAATTGGTCGGCTATTTGAGCCAGTAAAGGGGACTTTACTATTCTTAGGTAGCGGAATGACTTTTGCTTCCCTCCAAGCCTGGGGGCACACACATTCTAGTAGGCTTAAATTGAAAATATGGCAAATAAGAGTGGCAATATCGTCCGCTATTATCCTCAGTAATTTTCCGTCCAAGTTGTCAGACCCCGGTGGCTTGTCATTGTTGATAGACAACAATAATTCCACACTCACTTTACGGAATTCAAAAATTACAATGCTTGTCTTTCATAATATGGTCAGATATACTTGGATGTGTAGTGTCAGCAATTTTTGCTGGCATGTCATGCCTAAGTTTGCTAATATTGCCAACTACTTTAATGATATTTTCATTGGCAAGATCAGTTGGTTTTGTGATGAATGAGCCATCTGATTCAATGAATGATGGAGCTGAGTTTGCCTTTTTTCCCAAAATGTCATTTAAGGTGCTCCAAAGCTTTTTACTTTCATTCTTTATGTCATTTATCTTTGTTTCATAGTGTATTTTATTCTTATTTTTATTCAGTTAAGTTACATGATTTCTCAATTTGCAATACGTTTGCCAATCGATTGTGCAGCCAGACTTATTTGCCATTCCTTTTGCCTCATCCCGCTCCACCATACCATTTTTTAATTCCTCATCAATCCACGGGGATTTAACAGTTTTTACATCATTTTCTTAATGGGTGCATGCTTATTAGTAACTGGAATAAGCAATTTCATAAATGTGTCAAGTGCAGTGTCGGTTTGCTCCTCATTACACACCACGGACCAACATATTCTTTACATCAACAACATAGGAATCACTACAAAACTTATTGTATGACCTCTTATACATAATATTAGGCCCAGCCTTTGGAACTTTGGTTTTCCTAGATATGGCTACTATATTGTGATCACTACATCCAATGGATTTGGATACTGCTTTCAAACAAGTCTCTGCAGCATTAGTAAAGATATGATCAATACATGTTGATGATTTCATTCCTGTACTGTTTGTAACTACCCTGATAGGTTGACTGATAATCTGAACCAGGTTGCAGGCACTGGTTACAGTTTGAAGCTTTCTCTTGAGTGGGCAGCCTGATGAAAGCCAGTCAATATTTAAATCACCCAGAAAGTATACCTCTCTATTGATGTCACATACATTATCAAGCATTTCACACATGTTATCCAGATACTGACTGTTAGCACTTGGGGGTCTATAGCAGCTTCCCACCAGAATGGGTTTTAGGTGAGGCAGATGAACCTGTAGCCATATTACTTCAACAGTATTTAACATGAAATCCTCTCTAATCTTCACAGGAATGTGGTTCTGTATATAAACAGCAACACCTCCACCATTGGCATTGATATATTTTCTGTAAATGTTATAACCTTTGTATTACTACCAATGTATCATCAAAGGTATTATCTAAGTGAGTTTCAGAGATAGTCAGAATATGAATGTCATATGTTACTAGCAAATTACTGATTTCATGAACCTTGTTTCTTAAGCTACATATGTTAGGGAGTGAGAGTGGGGGGAGGGAGACTGAGGTGGAGCAGGCCAAGGCTCACAGGTAGGGCGGGAGGGAGGGAGAGAAGGAGAGAGAAAGAAAGAGGGGGAGAGAGTGAAGGAGAGAGGCGGAGAGAGAGAGAGTGAGAGGGAGAGAGGGAGTGAAGGAGAGAGGGAGTGAAGGAGAGAGGGAGTGAAGGAGAGAGGGAGTGAAGGAGAGAGGGAGAGAGAGTGAAGGAGAGGGGGAGAGAGAGTGAAGGAAGGAAGGAGGGAGGAGGGGAGGGAGAGGGGTGAGGAGAGTGAAGGATGAGAGGGGGAGAGGTGAAGGAGAGAGGGGAGAGAGTGAAGGAGGAGGGGGGAGAGAGTGAAGGAGAGGATTGAGGGAGGAGGTGAGGTCGGTGAGGGTAGTGAGGAGAGAGAGAGGTGAAGGACGGTGGAGGAGAGGAGAGGAGGAGATGGGGAGAGAGAGTGAAGGAGGGAGAGAAGAGAGGGAAGGAGAGAGGGGTGAGGAGAGAGAGAGAGAGAGGAGAGAGGGGGGAGGAGTAAGGAGAGGAAGGGAGAGAGGAGTGAAGAGAGGGGGGAGAGAGGGAGGAGGAGAGAGGGAGAGCAGAGGAGGGCGGTGGGAAGGAGGCAAGGAAGGGAGGGAGGGAGGGAGGGAGGGAGGGTCCAAATTAACATTGGGTGTACCGTTGCTCAATTTCCTTAGTCATTCCTGGAAAGGACACATTCTATTTGGTGATTCTTATCTTGATGGCTTCCAATGATCTAGGTACAAAGAAAAGAGAAACCTGCAAACTTCTTAGTAAAAACATAACAATAACATATTTTTATTATTACTTTTTTACTGTTTACCTTGTTACAACAATATTGACCCAGTAGTATGAATGTGTAGAGAATGGTTTTCTCATGCTGATGTTTAAGGTTACACAGCCTAAGTCAACAGTAGTTTCCCCTTTCACCTCTTTCCCAGAACAGTTGAGAGATTAGGGAAGAAGTTGTCTTTATGGGCTCTGAGTACTGGAATGTACGTGTGCGTACGTGAAAGATGAAGTGTGTTTTTCATGTGGTGCCAGCCAGTATCATATTCAAAAGCATGTTAGGATAGAAACCACTGCAGTGTGCAGCACCTTTGTTAGGATAGAAACCACTGTGCAGCACCTTTGTTAGGATAGAAACCACTGCAGTGTGCAGCACCTTTGTTAGGATAGAAACCACTGCGGTGTGCAGCACCTTTGTTAGGATAGAAACCACTGTGCAGCACCTTTGTTAGGATAGAAACCACTGCAGTGTGCAGCACCTTTGTTAGGATAGAAACCACTGTGCAGCACCTTTGTTAGGATAGAAACCACTGCAGTGTGCAGCACCTTTGTTAGGATAGAAACCACTGTGCAGCACCTTTGTTAGGATAGAAACCACTGCAGTGTGCAGCACCTTGTTAGGATAGAAACCACTGTGCAGCACCTTTGTTAGGATAGAAACCACTGCAGTGTGCAGCACCTTTGTTAGGATAGAAACCACTGTGCAGCACCTTTGTTAGGATAGAAACCACTGTGCAGCACCTTTTGAGCATTTGATATGTGAAGTCAGTGTCTCTTCATCTCTGGTCTTGGTTGGAAAACACAGTAGGAGAGAGAAATCACTCAGTTAGCAAAATTATTTCCAGACATTTGATATCATGTGCATTTTAAGTGCTAAATGAAAATGTGAAAATACGTATTTTCCGGACATTGAAAATAATTATTTTCCAGACAGTGAAAATATGTAATTTACATACACTGAAAATAGGTATTTTTCGGTCATTTGATTATGTGGCCAAATTTCAACTGCTATACATTCTCAATTAAGTAAGCATTA